TCTTAGAGAAAATACTGATGTGGTTATATGAACACATTATACAGTGTATACTCTTAGAGAAAATACTGATGTGGTGATATAAACACATTATACAGTGTATACTCTTAGAGAAAATACTGATGTGGTTATATGAACACATTATACAGTGTATACTCTTAGAGAAAATACTGATGTGGTGATATAAACACATTATACAGTGTATACTCTTAGAGAAAATACTGATGTGGTGATATAAACACATTATACAGTGTATACTCTTAGAGAAAATACTGATGTGGTGATATAAACACATTATACAGTGTATACTCTTAGAGAAAATACTGATGTGGTGATATAAACACATTATACAGTGTATACTCTTAGAGAAAATACTGATGTGGTGATATAAACACATTATACAGTGTATACTCTTAGAGAAAATACTGATGTGGTGATATAAACACATTATACAGTGTATACTGTTGGAGAAAATGCTGATGTGGTGATATGAACACATTATACAGTGTATACTCTTAGAGAAAATGCTGATGTGGTGATATGAATGCTCCCCTGCTCATTCCTTGCTTTGTGACATCTCTGGAATATTTGTTAACTTTTGATAATAATAACCTAACATTTCCATTTGCTCAGACACATTTTATTGTTTGTTTATGGGAATGTTTTGATATGATGTCTTTCATCTAAATGAAGTAGTAATCACAGTTACTTGGTATTGTCCTAACAGTTACATCATATAGCCTTAACAGTTACTTGGTATTGTACTAACAGATACTTGGTATAGTCCTAACAGATACTTTGTATTGTCCTAACAGATACTTGGTATTGTCCTAAGTTACATCATATAGTCTTAACAGTTACTTGGTATTGTCCTAAGTTACATCATATAGTCCTAACAGTTACTTGGTATTGTCCTAACAGATACTTGGTATAGTCCTAAACAGATACTGTCCTAACAGATATTTGGTACAGTCCTAACAGATACTTTGTATAGTCCTAATAATCACTGGTGATTATGTGTGGTGTGTAAAATATGTAATGTGTTGCTTTCTAACATCTGCTTCCTCGCTGCATGTGAATCTTTAGTCTGTGCACATGCATCCTTAAGCTTGCTGAGTGCTTGTCAATCCTTAAGCTTGCAGAGTGCTTGTGAATCCTTAAGATTGCTGAGTGCTTGTGAATCCTTAAGATTGCTGAGTGCTTATGCAGATTAAGCTTGTTTAGTGCTTATGCAGCCTTAAGCTTGCTGATTGCACATGCATCTTTAAGCTTGCTGAATGCACACGCATCTTTAAGCTTGCTAAGTGCACATGCATCCTTAAGCTTGCTGAGTGCACATGCATCCTTGAGCTTGCCGAGTGCACATGAATCCTTAAGTTTGCTGAATGCACATGCATCGTTAAGTTTGCTGAGTGCACATGCATCCTTAAGCTTGCTGAGTGCACATGCATCCTTAAGCTTGCTGATGCACATGCATCCTAAAGTTTGCTGAGTGCATGTGCATCTTTAAGCTTGCTGAATGCATGTGCATCCTTTAGCTTGCTAAGTGCACACGCATCATTACGCTTGCTGATGCACATGCATCCTTAAGCTTGCTGAGTGCACATGGGGCGTTAAGGTTGTGCACATATTGTCTTATTGAAGCTGAATTTCATCAGCAGCTGAAGGTTTTCTCCTTCTTGAGAATAGTTAACACTCAGGTGAGCATTTCGTTTTTATACAGTGTCTTACATCAATGATTTCCCTTGCCTTGGCCTGTTTACCCTAGGAATCCAATGAGGACAGTCTTTATGGGCATTTAGAAGATCAATGTAAACATGAAACTATTACATGAATTATATATATATATATATGACCATATATTTGCCAGTGCTTCAATTTTTTAATTTCTTTTTTTGAATAACATGGTTTTTCAAGAGTAGTAATATTCATTTTGACAGCTTTATTCAAACTCTGTAATGTGTATATTTTATAGTCAGAATATTCTTTTTCGGTGTTATCAGTACAGAGACTATGCAAGATGATTTAAGTGTTTATTTAGCAGTAGTTGGCGACACATTGTTCAGACAGTAACCTGTATCAAGTTACATGCATGTGAAATACCTGTAGGTCATGTTACATATAGCTGTAACATTACCTGTAACAACCTGTGTATACCCACAATAATCAGTGTAAACACAATAGAAGTGATGATTCCATACCTGTTTTAACATGTTGTAGGTATAATAAAGCTTTTAAGTTTACTAATGTTGATTCTTTGAAATACAATTTGTTCAGCTATTCTTAATCAACATGAGAAAGGTATGATACTTTATGGATCATCAGGATGACAACTTCTTATTTTATTCTGATGTACAACCATTGTCAAGCAAGATTGAAGTACTACAGCACATCATTATTCATCAACTTCTAAAATGCGACCAAGGTCCGGGTTAGAATGAACCTTCAGTAACCCATGCTTGTCGTAAGAGGCGGCTAACGGGATCGGGTGGTCAGGCTCTCGGGCTTGGTTGACACATGTCATCGGTTCCCAAGTGCGCAGATCGATGTTCATGCTGTTGATCACTGGATTGTCTGGTCCAGACTCGATTATTTACAGACCGCCGCCATATAGCTGGAATATTGCTTAGTGTGGAGTAAAACTAAACTCACTCACTTCTAAAATGCCAATGAAACAGATTCTTTATTATCGTATGGTGTGGAGCTGTTTTCTGACCATGAAACAACTATGGAGTTCAGTATCTTTCAACAGAACTTGGCAGATATATTAGGCAAATTTTGAAATGGTGCCTTTTGCTATTTACAGATTTTTGGCATTTATATTACTCATAGTTTCCATCGAAACGATTTGGACTTAGTCTAAAAGAAATTCAAGCTGGACTTTAAGTAACTGTCAGATGATTTGTTCTTTCAAATTTGTGGGGGCCGGGGATATGTCATCTTCTGATGACTCTTGTTTATCATGTTTAACTGTTCATCAGTAACATCGTATCCCTATTGCGTAGAACGATGCTCATGATGCTGATCACGTGATTGTCTGCCATATGGCTGGAATATTGCTGAGTGCGGTGTTAAACAACAAACCAGTAACCAGTTGTACATCAGTTAAGACAGGACATAGTGATAGCCAACTTAATTGTTCTGTTATGATGGAATGAGTATGCTTCACGACATTTTAGCAAACATCCAGCAAAATAAGGGTCACCAGAAATGGGCTTCACACATACCATGTGGTGATTCGAACTCGGACCTTTGCTGTGACGAGTGAACGTTTTCCCCACAAGGCTACCCTACCACTCCCCAGACTTAAGGAGAAGGCAAACAAGGCTGTTGAATCGAACTTTTATTTCGTGAACAAATATTGATGTATTCTGAGGTGGATGCAGTGTATCCTGTCAGTTATCTATTGTCCTGCTGAGACCCGTGACGATCCGGGTTAGAATTGGTGTTCAGCAACCAATGCTTGTCGAAAGAGCCGGTCAGACTCACTGACTTGATTGACATGTTCCCTATCACAACTACGTAGATCGATGCTCACGATGTTGATCAGTGGATTGTCTGGTCCTGCCTCTATGATTTACAGACCGCCGCCATATAGCTGGAATATTGCTGAGTGTGGCGTAAAACATCAACCAAACTAACCTATAGAGAAACTGGAACCTCTGTAGAAATTGCCCAGGAATCCGGGCTATATTTGACCGCCTCCGTGGTGTAGTGGTTAGAGCGTCCGCCCGGAGAGCGGAAGGTCGCGGGTTCGATCCCCGACCGCGTCATACCAAAAGACGTTAAAATATGGTACTTGTTGGTCACTGCCTGGCGCTCGGCATTAATGGGTACAACAAGGACTGGTCGGCTCGGAGTCAGTATAATGTGTCTGAGTGGGGGTATTCATGCTTCACTGCGGCATGGTATCTCAGTGGGCTAGCACTATAAAACCAGCTTAAGTCTGGGCTAGTACAAGCAGCCGCACATACACATACACACGCATTCACGTCGTCATATGAGCGAAATATTCTCAAGCACGACGTTAAACCCAATTTCACCTCACCTCACCTCACCGGGCTATGTTTTAGTCTTGAGCAACCAATGCTTGTGACGGAATGGATCAGGTGATCATGCTGGTGGACTAGGCTGCTAGCGTCAAGGTATTCTGGAGTATTTACGGACTGCATTACCAAAGTCCGTTATGGATGATAGTGTCTTTTAACAACAGTAGCATTACCAATACTGTCAGTACTTTTGTCATGTGATGATCAGTAAATATCAATAATCGATTTGTAATGATGGATTTTATAACTTGTGGAGAAACATATGCAACAATTTCTTTTATCTGTAAAAAATTACAATAACATTAGTACGACTCCTTCAAACTCATAGTTAAAATCTGTTGGTCACACCTGGTTGGTTTGTGTGTGCAGCCTCATAAAGGGTTGTCTGTTTCTCATCACAATAGAAGTATTTTTACAGGCATAAAACAAATTAGTCACCTCTTGATTGATCAGTTGAATATAACCGGAGCACAGTTTGCTTAGGGCAGTTTCACCGATAAGACGTCAAAATTGGACAAACTTCGTTGAGCTAAATGAAATATTCTTATCTTTTCGACATCAACCCCAAGTTGCTGAATGATGATATGGGAATTAGAAGGAATGGGGTTGTCAAAATTACATGACAATAGCTTATACCCAAAGCCGAAAATGAGTCGAGTTTGGTTTAACAGGTTTATCAGTGTTCCAGTTCATTCCAGTTTCATTCTTGGTGTGGCAAGAGTGAGTGAATATGGTTTTACGCCGCTTTTGCAATATTCCAGCAATATCATGGCGGGGGACACCAGGAATGGGCTTAACACTTTGTACCCACGTAGGGAATCAAACCCGGGTCTTCGGCGTGACAAGCGGACGCTTTAACCATGAGGCTACCCCACCGCCCCCTTGTGGAACATGAAAATACAGTGGCACCACGCCGTCGTTGACATTGACCAAAATGTGACAGCCCCCGTGATCCAGGTAAAATATGAACAGTGACCTATAATTTACAAAAGCTAAAACAAAACTTAAACCACTAGGGAAAGTTATGCCCATTGTTCTTGGAAGTGTCTTTTTAGCATAACTGCCCTAATAATCGAACCCGGGTCTTCAGCGTGACGATCGAACACTTTAACCACTGGGCTACCCCACCGCCCCTGAAACATAAAAGCGCCAGAGTGAGTGAGTCGAGTAGTGATGTTAAAGCCACGTCTTCACGTAACACTGGTACTGCGTTGGTACGTTGGGAATCAAACCCGGCATTCAGTGTGAAGAGCCAACGCTTTAGCCACAAGGCTACCCAACAACCCCATACTATGTCACCAGGAGTAATGCCTAAATATAACGTAGGTATTTACACCCCGGCTGGTGCGTATTACGCTTGATGAATTACTTGAACTCCTAACACCGTGTTCAAAGTATCATATTTCATAGATACAATTGCCAACCGTTTCAGCTTAAACAATCGACTCCTCGGTCACTGTAACCCCACAGTTTGCTTGCGGTAATGTTTTGTTGCAGTCTCTGTTTAAGGAAATCCCGTGACGTCAGACAATTTCGTGGAAGTCGTTTTACTGCGTACGGGGACTTCACCAAGGAGACACCCATGTGTTTAAGTCATGTGGAACACAAGTATGGATTCATAGACACTACACATCTTGCTGATTTACGAGAATTATCTAAAAGAACAGCATCTGATCCGAGGGCAAGGTGAGTGGGGCTGCATCGAGCTGCCTCAAACCATACAACAGCGCATTGAGCGTGTGCTGTTCCTCCAGGCAACGCCATTATTATTACACACGAGGTAACGTTTGCCTTTGAATAATGAATCCTCGCTAGGTTCGGTGAATCTACTATCGTTACCTTCTTGGTCTGAAGGGAGACACCCCCGATATTGGGGTGGAAGGAGTTTGTAAAATTCGGGTGGATCACCGATATCGTGACCTTGCAGTTACTGCGGTGATATCTCACCTCGTTTACACATACCGTTCCATACCTGTCTGGGTTAAGCAACAAACCGCGAATTCACTCAACTGAACAAACTCAATGTGACTATTACAGTGCTGCAGGGTATGAAGAAAAGGAGATTGTACTTGTTACCTTGTCTGACGTGACTTAATTGTATCACGCTAGTTGAAAGAGTCAACTTAATTGTATCATGCTAGTAGAAGGAGACAACTTAATTGTATCAACTTAATTGTATTATACTAGTAGAAAGAGGCGACCTAGCTGCATCATGCAAGAAGAAAGAGGCGACTTTTTGCATCATTCTAGTAGAAAGAGGCGAGTTAATTGTATCATACTAGTTGAAAGAGTCGACTTAATTGTATCATACTAGTTGAAAGAGGCGACTTAATTGTATCATGCTAGTAGAAAGAGTCGACTTAATTGTATCAACTTAATTGTATTATACTAGTAGAAAGAGGCGACTTAATTGTATCATACTAGTTGAAAGAGTCAACTTAATTGTATCATGCTAGTAGAAGGAGAGAGGCGACTTAATTGTATCAACTACCATAGTAGTGAAAGAGGCGACCTAATGCATCATGCAAGTAGAAAGAGGCGACTTAATCGTATCATACCAGTTGAAAGAGGCGACTTAATTGTATCATACCAGTTGAAAGAGACGACTTAATCGTATCATACCAGTTGAAAGAGGCGACTTAATTGTATCATACCAGTTGAAAGAGATGACTTAATCGTATCATGCCAGTTGAAAGAGGCGACTTAATTGTATCATGTCCGTTAAAATGGACTTCATTGTATCATGGTGGAAGGAAAGGCAACTTAATTGTATCGTGTTAAAGGGGCGACTTAATTTGTTCATGCTGGTAGCTAATCTTCAAGAGGAAATAAACCATCTCAAAGAAGCGTTCATTAACCTCAATGATTATCCACCCCAATTAGTCAACAGGACACTTGTTTCAACCCTTTCACCATCAACTAAGTTGCCAAGACCAGAGCCAGCACCGATAAAATCTGTATCCCCTACATTGGCAAGACCTCAATCACAAGGGGGTGGTTTACAAAATTGACTGTAACTGTGGACAATCATATATTGGCGAAACATCCAGGCCAATCAACACCAGAGTGAAAGAGCACCAGGCGTCAACAACCAAATCTGACAACAAATCAGCTATCTCAGAACACATTTAGACCAATCCTAATCACCAAATCAACCGGAAAGAATACACTATACTGGCCACCAACCAACCTGACTTCACCAAACGAAAACTAACTGAAGCCATCCACATCAAAAGACACCGACCCCTGATCAACAGAGATCAAGGCTATTTCATCCCCTCAGCATAGGACGAACTCATCAACCAACCCTAACTGCTTGTGCAACTTGTATAAACATGTCCAATCCCTCTGTACATCCCACTAGCTTCTAATGTTATCCATTGTCACTGGCTTCTACATGTAATCCCTTATCATCACATTGTTAGTGTACTTCCCTATTAACTTCTTGTTGTTCTTGTTAACTATTTTCAACCTGTTTCAGTCTGACTCATACCTCCTTGGCAACGCTACAAGAATCTGAATCGAAACCTCGCATCATCCGAATAAAGAAGCTGTTCATCCATAAAGTTTGTCCTTATCTGTTTTGTCCAACTTCTAAACATGACACTGAAAGAAGTTAGCCAAAGGAAAGGCGACTTGTATCATGCTAGTAGAGAGTCCTGACTTAATTGTATCACCTACTAGTTGAAAGAAATCTTGCTTCTGATAGTTAAGACTGGTTTTAGTTTTGCATTGCATTGACGTTCTATATGTCTCATCTCCCACCTCAGCCAGCAAGGTGTGGACGGTCGAAAACAAAAATAGTCTTGCATAAATGATGAAGATCGAGTCACTAGCTCCGAAATTTGTTATATTAAATATTGATGGAGAAAGATTAAGTTGAGCTGTTTTGTATTAGTGGAGGGTAAGGGTGATCTTGTATTAGCTATGATTGTCTATGTTAAAGTATAGAGACACCTATGGACCCTGTTCATCATGGATGCTGAAGTTGAAAGAGGCCCATTTCTTGACTTATTTGCACTCTTTGAGGCTCTGAATTCAAAGTACCTTGTGAGAGGTTTAAGAAATCATGAAATGGAGATCGATCAATGTTAATTGTATCATACTAGTTGAAAGAGTCGACTTAATTGTATCATACTAGTAGAAAGAGGCGACTTTATTGTATCATACTATGTGAAAGAGTCGACTTAATTGTATCATACTAGTTGAAAGAGGCGACTTAATTGTATCATGCTAGTAGAAAGAGTCGACTTAATTGTATCAACTTAATTGTATTATACTAGTAGAAAGAGGCGACTTAATTGTATCATACTAGTTGAAAGAGTCAACTTAATTGTATCATGCTAGTAGAAGGAGACGACTTAATTGTATCAACTTAATTGTATTATACTAGTAGAAAGAGGCGACCTAGCTGCATCATGCTAGTTGAAAGAGTCAACTTAATTGTATCAGGCTAGTAGAAGGAGACGACTTAATTGTATCAACTTAATTGTATTATACTAGTAGAAATAGGCGACCTAGCTGCATCATGCAAGTAGAAAGAGGCGACTTATTTGCATCATTCTAGTTGAAAGAGGCGACATAATTGTATCATACTAGTTGAAAGAGTCGACTTAATTGTATCATACTAGTAGAAAGAGGCGACTTTATTGTATCATACTAGTTGAAAGAGTCGATTTAATTGTATCATACTAGTTGAAAGAGGCGACTTAATTGTATCATGCTAGTAGAAAGAGTCGACTTAATTGTATCAACTTAATTGTATTATACTAGTAGAAAGAGGCGACTTAATTGTATCATACTAGTTGAAAGAGTCAACTTAATTGTATCATGCTAGTAGAAGGAGACGACTTAATTGTATCAACTTAATTGTATTATAGTAGTAGAAAGAGGCGACCTAGCTGCATCATGCAAGTAGAAAGAGGCGACTTTTTGCATCATTCTAGTTGAAAGAGGCGAGTTAATTGTATCATGCTAGTAGAAAGAGTCGACTTAATTGTATCATACTAGTAGAAAGAGGCGACTTTATTGTATCATACTAGTTGAACGAGTCAACTTAATTGTATCATACTAGTTGAAAGGGGCGACATAATTGTATATTGCCAGTTGAAAGAGGCGACTAAATTGTATCATACTAGTTGAAAGAAGCGACTTATGTGTATCATGTTAGTAGAAAGAAGTGACTTAATTGTACCATTCTAGTTGAAAGAGGCGACTAAATTGTATCATGCTAGTAGAAAGAGACGACTTAATTGTTTCAACTTAATTGTATCAAACTAGCTGAAAGGGGCAACTTGATTGTATCATGCTATTAGAAAGAGTCAACGTAATTGTATGATGCTAGTAGAAAGAGGCGACTTATGTGTGTCATGTTAGTAGAAAGAGGTGACTTAATTGTACCATGCTTGTTAAAAGAGGCGACTTCATTGTATCATACTGGCTGAAAGAGGCAACTAAATTGTATCATGCTAGTAGAAAGAGTCAACGCAATTGTATGATGCTAGTAGAAAGAGACGATTTAATTGTATCAACTTAATTGTATCAAACTAGCTGAAAGAGGAGACATAATTGTATCATACTAGTTGAAAGATGCAACTAAACTGTATCATGCTAGTAGAAAGAGTCAACGTAATTGTATCATACTAGTAGAAAGAGTCAACGTAATTGTATGATGCTAGTAGAAAGAGACGACTTAATTGTATCAACTTAATTGTATCAAACTAGCTGAAAGAGGCGACTTGATTGTATCATACTAGTTGAAAGAGGCGACATAATTGTATCATGATAGTAAAAAGAGGCGACTTAATTTCATCATGCTAGTAGTAAGAATCCTCGTTCTTGTGGAATTGATACTTGTCAGGGGCGATCTAACCCAGGAAGAACTCTTGCTTCTGGGGATAGTTAAGACTGTTTTTTGTTTTGCTTTGACGTTCTATATGTCTCATCTCCCGCCTCAGCCAGCAAGGTGTGGACGGTCGAAAACAAAAATATACAGTAGAGAATGCTATGCCTTTAAATAGTCTTTAAATTAATAAATGATGAAGATAGAGTAACTATGCTTCTGAATTGTTTATATTAAATATAGATGGAGAATGATTAAGTTGAGCTGTTTTGTGTGAGTGGGGGGTATGTGGACTCTTGTGGAAAAATAATGATGAAGATAGAGTAACAATGCTTCTGAATTGTTTATATTAAATATAGATGGAGAATGATTAAGTTGAGCTGTTTTGTGTGAGTGGAGGGTATGTGGACTCTTGTGGAAAAATAATGATGAAGATAGAGTAACAATGCTTCTGAATTGTTTATATTAAATATAGATGGAGAATGATTAAGTTGAGCTGTTTTGTGTGAGTGGAGGGTATGTAGACTCTTGTGGAAAAATAATGATGAAGATAGAGTAACAATGCTTCTGAATTGTTTATATTAAATATAGATGGAGAATGATTAAGTTGAGCTGTTTTGTGTGAGTGGAGGGTATGTGGACTCTTGTGGAAAAATAATGATGAAGATCATTTCACGTCGGAATGCCGGAATGACGGTTGGTGGGAGATGGGAAACAAGGAAACAAATAAGGACAGCCTTACAGAATTACGACTTGACTGGAGATACTTGGGTGATCTTGTACTAAACAAACTTAGCGCTATGATTGTCTATGTTAAAGTATAGAGACACCTTAGCTCTATGGACCCTTTGTTCAACCACATACCTCACTTTGAAGCTGGACGCTGAAGGCCCGGGTTTGATTCCCACATGGTTACAATGTATGAAGCCCATTTGTGGTGTTCCCCGCCGTGATATTGCTGGAATATTGCAAAAAGCGGCGTAAAACCAAACTCACTCACTCACTGAATGTGTGTAGCCCATTTCTGGTGTTCCCCGCCGTGATATTGCTGGAATGTTGCAAAAAGTGGCGTAAAACCAAACTCAGTCACTTTGAGGTTGGGTCTGAATTCAAGTACCTTGTGAATGAGGTTTATGTAAGATCATGGTAAATGGAGATCATGTTATCAATGGAAAAGTGAATCGCAATACTGTTTTAGTAAAACAAGATTATTCCAATAACTACCCACATCAACGCTCATGTCTTCAACAACCCATGCTTGTCGTAAGAGGCGACGTGACCAGGGTTGTCTGGCTCGCAAATGTGACTAATGCGTACCATCGTATCCAAACGCTTAAAATTAGGTCAATGCTTTTTATTCCAGATAACGAACATGGCCGAGAGTCCTCGAAAGAAAACGCCTCCACGTCAAAAGGAAGCACCAACGAAAATAGGTACATGCACTTTATTTCACGCGAAGATCACTTCCATGAAGTAATATTGACAGTTACCATCCAGTTTTTACTAAATCCAATAAAATTGACAAGCTTCTAAAAGTTGTACATAAAGCTTTTTGCGGAGGCCTGCCATTGTTTACAACATTTTATGACAGGCCGGTCTCACTTAAAATATGTTTTCAGTGCTTGATATTTTTTAAGAAACATCCCCACACTGTTCACTGGTCAAGGTCGTCTCGAATATCAAGGTCAACTAACTACTGAAATGCATGATTTTTTTTCTTGAATTTACTGACTGTTTATACAGACTGTAAGTTCAATGAATGTTTTTTGGTATCTCATTTTACCTTAAATTCATATTACGTCTGTTTGGAGGCGTGGAAATGTCAGTATTATCGTTACCTACCGCAAATAAGGTTGTCAGACTGCATAATATTCAGTTTCATTAAAATCAGACCAAAGAAATGACAAAAGTCGACATTAGCTAAGATATGAGTTTCCTCCAGATAATTAGGTTGAACCTGGCGACATCCGTTTCAGACTACGCTTTGAATATAAATTTTGACAAAATGGTAATTTTTTTAATTACAGAGCAAAGAAGTGAAACTATCAATAACTACATCACGCTGAACAACCCGAATATTGTCCAAGTAGGAAGCGGAAATGTCGTTTTCAAAGAAGCCAAATCTCTACTGGATGATGACGAAAAGGGTGAGAGATATATATCTATAGTCATATCATTAGTCATCACCAATATTAACTTAGACATAATAGGTGTTGTTATGTCTGTTCGTTTTATCGCCATTGTCTGTAAATATCTTTGTCTGGACTACAGGATCCAGTGACAAAATCCCACACATCTCAAGAACGATGACCAACAATCAGGCAAATTATCGAACCTTTCATCAGATTCATTATAGTCCGTTTTACATAAAAATAGTTAGAGGTCACGCTTAAAAAGTATGGGAAGGGGGAAGGGGGGTCATTGATTTTGTACATGACATTCGGGGGTGGAGGTGGGGGTGTTACTTTTTGTACATAAACTTTAGGGGGAGGGGGCATTGACATTGTACATGCTTCTCCATAAAAATCATCATCACCCCTTCCCCAGGCATAGATAACGAACGGTCCCTTATTTTCTGAATGCAGCTTAACTGTTGCACGTCTGACTGAAAATGTATCAATCGTACATGTTCCCCACCTGCTGGGTTTATACATATATAAATGAAGAAGTTGGTTTCAACTCATCATTGATGTCCTCCTTAACGTTGAAAGAAATCACACACCTTTAAAATCAACTGTTCCTCCTTCCTTTATTCCCCTTCCATTTAACAATGTACACATAATAGGCTTCTTAAACAACTTTTCCAGTTATGGGTATAAATGTAACAAACAACATATATTGTAGTGTACATGGCATTTTATTGTACCGTATTGATAAAGAATGGACGATTCCTGATTTTGTCGTATTTTGCAATTCATTGTTCTCATTTGTAGACACACGGAATGCAAACGTCCGGATCGCATATATTTAAACATAAATTGTAATATTTATCGAGTTGCATGTGCTTAAAACAAATAATTCACAAAGAAACTAAAACAGATATATTTTCGTTACAGGAGGGTTAAGCAGGAATGATGTCTTTGTTGGCATGGTAAATAGCATAATCAATCCAACATGTTCCGAAAAAGCCATGGAGATGTCAATGAAAGTTGTTGAAGAACGCTTTACAAAGCAATATAAACGACATTGTGCCGAAGTCAAGTCATTCAAAGATGCTTATGGAGCGCCTCTTCGAACGTTCATTGAAGCTAATAGGGAATACTATGATATCTACTCAACAAAAGGCAAGTACAAAATCAGACTGAAAGGCAAAGACAGAGAGAAATCAAAGAAATCCAAAGAAGGGAAAACAGGGATGACATGTGTTCAGACAGATCCGAAACGGACCTTGCCTATGACGGAAGAAAGAAACGAGGACACAGAAGAGAAAGGCGAGGTTCAGAAACTTGGCGAAGCTTCTGGATGTACAACAGAAAACGTTCATCTTGAGGATGATTTGAACCCCGAGTCATGGCAGCAATCAAAGCCAAAACACAGCAAACGAAAACCGGTCCTGATGGATCACTCTGTGGAAGCTACTCAATCGGTTTCTCAAAGGGAGTCAAGTTCTTCTGCCAAAGAGGAATTATACAATTCTCAGAGGTTTATGGTTCGAGAACTGTTGAGGAAGGATGAAAGTGATGTACTTATATTTTACCCAGATGAATCAGCATACATGGATGGACAAGCTTTATTTATGCAGGATATAGTCTCTGTGGAATACTCCTTCGAGGCATAGATCATCTGTTGTATTAGGAGTTTGCTTGAACCAGACTAAACCACATTCCGTGGTTGGAATTCGGGTTCGAGCCAGTGATGATTTCTATCAAGCTCATTTCAACAAGGATCATTTTTCGATGATGCCCAATTTCAATTACAACGAAGTAGTGTACGAAGACAAAGTAATTGGTATTATTGAAGTGAAAAGCAGCCATGGACATGGCGTTCCTTCAGTTGTTACTAAAGACTTCACAGATAGTAACCTCACCCTCAGAACTGGTCAACTGTGGGTTAGGTCTGGGAGGCAAAATCGACTGAGTCTGCCCCAGGACTTTCTGACAGGCCAAATATATCAGTGGTTTGGTGGAACTGGCCAGATGTCTGTGTCTGCGCCGGTAGAAACAACTAGTCAAGCAATGCATAAGAGAGAGTTTGAATATCCTGATGAAGAATATCCAACAACAATCAAGAAAGGAGTGACAACGGCAGATTTTTGTTCTGCTGTAGATCACTTCAAAAAGGGACATTTTGTTTTGATTACAGGCAGTATACCCGAATGTGTGAGACATGTGGATAATTTGGCACTTGTGCCATGGCTAGCTGTGTATGACTTTGAGGAGTCCAGTAGAAACACGGGCTTGCTTTCTTGTTTAGAGGATGTCATAAAGAACAAGAGATATCTACATGTGTCAACATGGAAAGATTCCCCACAAGGTATTACAGAAAGTGGCACTCAGTGGATCTGTCTACGTGGACTTCGTGAAATACCAGACAGCCTAACGTCAAGGAACCCAAATAGCTGGTTTCAGCTTGTGAAAGGAAATCTGAATAGCACCTGCCTAAATCTGGCAAGATTTTCAGAAGATTACACAGTTCTTAGAGTAATTGTACTCTGGCCAGATGATGAAATACAAGCCCAATGTGTATACAAATTCCTGTGCAAGTTAAACGACCACTTCCATATTCAACCGAAGGTTATTATCTGCTTGTTACAAGAACTGAATTCAAGTGTTGGGAAAGTCTGTTTTACAGCTTCTTGAATCTGACTACAGTACCAACCTATTTCAGGTCAAGATTGATTTTGAAAGCCTTTGTCTATCTGCAGGAAATATGCTGAAGGACATTTCGAAACAAAGAGAAGTGGATTACTCGCTTCCAAAGTTAGAAAATCATATGCATGCTGACGTAACAGACAGAGATGCGGCTTGGCTACGTGAAGATTTAGTGGTTCTGTACTTGTCCAGTCCATACACTCAAGGGGAGACTGATATGGAAGAACTGAATGAAAAAGTAGATTCTTTCTTCAAGGGGGGCTCACTTCATTGGAGCGCTAGATATGCATTTGGAACAGCACACCTTGATGTTGAAAGGGAAATCATGAAATCTATCATTGAACATGTAGATCAGAAACTCATAACAGAATTTAGAAGTGCAACTGTCACAATATTCCATGCTCCCGGTGCTGGTGGAACAACACTGGCACAACGAATATTATGGGAGTTGAGAAAAAGATGTCCATGCTGTCAACTTAAACAGCGGCCTGGCATACTGATTGATGAAGTTTTGGCAAAAATACAATATCTCTACGATGTCTCTTGGCCTCCCAGTTGTCATACTGATTGATGGTGAAGATGAACCGCGTGTGAAACAAATTATGAAGAAACTGAAATCAGGATGCATCATTGTCCTCTATGCAAAGCGTTATCCTTATGCAATAAAAGAGCCACTTCGGCGCCCAAAAGACAACAAGTTTTGGTTGAGAGGAGAAGTAACAGAAGACGAAGCCAAAATCCTTTCAATAAAATTCTTAGAAAGATGTCAGGAAGATAGCAGAAAAAAGTACTGTCCAGAATGTGCAAAGACGTTCAACAGAAGACGAGGACTCATGTGATGTATGAATTTGGAATGGCAGTTTATCATCATGAGTTCAGAGGTATAGAAACATATGTGAAAGGGTATCTTCGGTTGGAAGAAAACCCCACGCGGGACCTCTTTCCATGGCAGAAGATCCTTGGTTATCTGTCGCTTGTATACTTCTATGGCCAGACTTCGGTGCCATGTCAAGTGTTCGCTCGTCTTTTGGGAAAACCGTCAAACTTTGACGTGTGTGTGGAAGACTTTCCATACCCAATTATGGAGTTCATTGTTGAAGATGCATCAGATGGACGTGAGAAGAACATAAGGATCAGCAATTACTATCTAGCAAAGGAAATTTTGGAACAGGTTTTGAATCGGTCAAACATCAGTCAGGGCAAAAAACTTCAAACTCTAAGCCGAAAAGCTAAGAACAATCTGAAGGTGTTTTGCCTTGAGTTTATATCCATGTTTAGTTCAAAGAAGACCAGATCATGTTTGACTGCTCACAATATCATCAAAATTCTTACGAGAACATTCATTTACAGGGACAACAGAGACGTTGGAGAGAATGAAGTTCAAATTAAGAAAAGACCTCTTTTTTCACAGCTCATATGTGACATTGACATGAATTCACCGTTTACTGGAAGATTGGAAGTTCTTAAGAAGCTATCATCTTCTTTTCCTGATGATCCGAATTTCCTTGCTCACCTTGGACGTTTCTATGCCCACTGCAGACCAGAAGAAGAGGACAAAGCAGAAAGGTGTTTTGAGGGTGCGCTCAGTCTGTGCGAGAAATGGAATGATGGCCAATGTACCCCTGTAACAGAGGAATGGAGGAAGCTGACGTTGATGCACATATACCATATGTACGGGACCATTTATCAACGCCGTGTTGGAAAATTCACAGGCAGAAGCTATGGAAGCAAACCAGAAATTGAGACAACACCAGAGGAGTTCAATCGTCGAATTGAAGAACTAGTGAGGGATGCAGACATAGCTTGTACCTATTTCACGCATTGCAGGCAAAATGCACCTTCAGGTTATGAAGAGTGTTATGGATATTCAAGCGAAATCCTTGTACGCCTGCAACTATGCGATTTCGTCAACAGAAACTACACCAATGGTGGAGTAACAGGCTTCTTAAGCAAACACGGTCACCATGGCGAACCCGTAGCAGAGTTTATCATAAACAGCATCACTGAGATTGAAGACATGATTCTTGAATGTTACAGCCTCATTCATCCTATAAATCTTGATCAAACATTCCATTCAGCTGTTCTTTGGCATGATCAGCTGTTTGAAAGAAACATGTTTGACATTCATAAACTTGGCAATATGTCAGTGATATCAAGGAGACTGCTGATAGCTGCAAATAAACTCAAATACTCCAGAAAAGGGCATCACAGTGTGTTTGAGATCAGTAACATTCCGAAAGCAGATGTAATTGAGTTCGTCAGTCTTTATGAAGAAAACTTCAAAGACGCATCCGTGATGGGAGACTTCAGCAAGAGACAGCTTGAGTCAGACTTCAAAGAATGGCTTGTTGCCATACGACACCCGCATTTCCCCACAGTTTATTCAGAACATGATGTCCTCAGTAAGGTCAGAAACTGGTATGAAACAATTCACAGCCCAACATCAACATACTACCTCTTTGTCTTGTTGAGTCTGGTTGGCTTTGGATCAACTGGTTCCAAAGGAAACAGTGAGAGCCTCCTTGAAGCCCAAATGCTAAAGGACGATATGGACAAATTAATCAAATCTGTCTCCAGACCAAGATATCCACAGGAATGGCTTGGAAAGAACAATTCTGGCATTAAGCGTCTAATACCCCAAAGCCGTTTATGTACCCAGATCGAAGGTAGGAACGTCCAGAGTGCCTCTCACAGCCTTCTTGTCTGCAAGGGAACGATTGCCCATCCGAACAGCAATAAATTGTCTGGATACATTGACTTAGATCTCGGCCAGAATTCTGTGCCAGTTAAGGTATTTTTCATTCCATTAAGAGCTAATTTGGTTGGAACTAGATTTGCTGGACAACGGGTTCAGTTTTATCTTGCGTTCTCATTTCACGGTAACGAAGCTTATAATGTTCAGGAACTAACAAAACACCAATGCTCGGTCTGTAGAAAGAAGACAGAGATACAGATGGATGAAGAAACAGTTCAGTGTTCATGTGGTGCTGTGGTGGAAAAGCATGTCGATTGAGTTGTGAACATTCAAAGACACAGACTTCCTTATGACCAAAAAGCATACGATTTTGGTTTATACCAGAGGCTCACATGAAAGGGGTGGACTGTCTTGAACTGCCCTTTTGATATCACTGTCTTTTTACGCCGCTTTTAGCAATATTCCAGCAATATCACGACGGGGAACACCTGAAATGGGCTTGACATATTGTACCTATGCTTTCGGCTTGACGAGCAAACGTTTTAACCAACAGCCTACCCCACCGCCCCCCGTTGTTAACTAACTCAAGTGCCTATGCGAGAGTCATCAGTTGTATGAAAATGTGAATGGCGGCATCATATCCCAGTTTTTATCCGTCAAATGCCAAGACAACAGCTGTATGGTGAAATAATATTTACTCTCCTGTGACAGTAACAGAAAAGAAATAATATTTTCAGTATAATGAATTTTAGTGTATCTCTTTTGACAATGTGGGTGGAAAGTGAATAATCAATGGCATTATGAAAGACTGCAACCTTGATATGCCGACTTTAAAATTCTTCAAAATTGTCAACCACGTAAACATGATCGTAGTCATCTGTGAGAGTTTCGTCAGAAAACGTTGTATGAATTATTGCTCATTACAATTGCACTTCTACTTGTACAAGGCTGAAACGTGGTAAATGTCGGATCTGAACAAATGTCTTGTAATGGCGATAGCTTAAAACTTTGATGCTTTGAGGAAACAGGAGTAACGTGTTTGCTTCTATTAGTAAAACTGCTCCTAAATGCCTCCAGGTATCCATCTACTTGTGAGATAACATGCAAAACGAAACAAAACTATGGTATCAAGGTTGAGCTCCATTCAAACGGCCCACGTGTGTGTGTGTGTGTGTGTGTGTGTGTGTGTGTGTGTGTGTGTGTGTGTGTGTGTGTGTGTGTGTGTGTGTGTGTGTGTGTGTGTGTTTTGAAACGCTTCACACTTTAGTTCTTTGGCATGTGTCAAACAGAAATATTCAGACTTCGTGATGAAGTTTCTTGCTTACGTTATTCACATTTATGCTTCAAACACTGCTTCTTTGTATATCAAATATTGAAGCTATTATGAACATATCTATCATGAACATCCCATTCCTTTCCATAAATTCTACCAAAAGGAGAGAAATTTCCACCTCGTAAAATATTATTTCCATTGCTATTGGTGTCAGTCACTCATGCATATGCATTTGTGGGGAAACCTCACTAACTGCACATTCTGGTCAAATTGTCAGTTATGACCACTAGATGCCAAGGTTTAGTTTTGTATACATATTACCTTTCATATGTTTAGTTATTATTACAAAACATTTTCTATTACTATAACAAACATTGCTTGTGTTTTATTTTACAGTATCCACTGTGTGTCATGTATGAATCATGTCATTCATATGGTCATTCCTATTTCTTAATGACAACCTGTTCAAACAACTCATGGTTACACTGCTTTGCTTTCACTTATGTATATGAGGTTATTGGGCATGGAATATTGTATGCACTGCATCAGTATATAGCTGTAACTTTATTGATCTTCCAGTGACTAAAGAAGCACCCCACAAATACCTTCAATGTGGTGACGTGTGGTCTTGTGCATAGATCGCAGGTCACAAATCAGTTGAAGCTAAGCAACGTTGACCGCGGAGAGTTCTTGGATGGGTGACCGTGTTTGGCAGCTTGACTCCTGAGAGTTTCTAGGACTTCAGTCCTGCCCCACAACGAAGCACGCACATATGATACATGTGTTCTCACCTTAGGCAAGTGAGTTTTTTTCAAAATTGCCTCTGTTCACCCAGCGGAAAAATGGGTACCCGGTGAAATAAGTCATATGACTATAACCTTCTAGCGACTAACAGGCAGCTTGGGTTATCCGGAGTAATAATGTTGTGTTATTGATTGTTAGCACTATGAGCATACCTAGTGTGGACTTTGGCGCTATATAAATGTACACATTATCATTATTACAATTCCAACTGCTAAAATATTTGGCTTGTGTTGGGCAATGAATGTTAGTTTGCTTATAGATTTCTACAGCACGCAGTCATTTGACATAAACATATTAATGTCACTAAAAGTGGCAGGCGTCGCTTTAGCCAGTCTACGTTCTGTGTATTTCCGTGAGCAGACATCATGTCCGATGCGGACTAGTCAATTAGTTTTAAAGACCTTTTGTACCGAATTGATGATTTTTCATCAAAAGGGAACTAGAGATTAGATTCGAAGCCCAAGGATAAGGAGAACAGATGTCAGGGAATCAGACGTCAAAGGACAAACCCAAACTAAAACGCGTAGGGTTGAAAGTGTTGGTACTGAACGCCGAATCCCGTCTCAGCCGCACGGTGCTGTGGGAGAAACTAACTGACAGGGTGATTCCCAAAGCATTAAGGATTCAATGTAACATTTAAAGCGAAGTTAAATCGAAGTTGACTGAATAAGCTCGTCAAAACGAATGGCATATTGCTGTTCAGTGCATTGTGTAAGTCAACAACCTGTTTGAAACGTCATGTTGATAAAGACGTTCCTTGGACAATTGTGAGAACTATGCTGAAGACAACATTACATACTTGCAAGAAGAGTTTGCGTCGTCGACAGTACAGGGACATTGACTACATCTCGATTAAATGAATGTCTAAAATAGAAAAAAAACACTGTTTATTTTCACATTTATATCTTCGATTCATGTAGTTAATATATGAAAGTGTGAAATATCTGTTAAACTAAGTTCGGCCTAACTACAGTCTCAGTGGTAGGGAGATAGGAAACGTAGAAGAAGGACTTTACGGAGGAGAGATTAGTGCAGAAATGTGCAATGTCCAAAGCGACTTATTTGGAACACAGACCATGACTTAATGCAAATTAATGTGCGATGATATTGTATTGCAAAGGGCACTTTTTAAATGCCCATTTTAAAATTAAACTTAGCTTCATTATGTATGTATGTATGTATGTATGTATGTATGTATGTATGTATGTATGTATGTATGTATGTATGTATGTATGTATGTATGTATGTATGTATGTATGTATGTATGTATGTATGTATGTATGTATGTATGTATGTATGTATGTATGTACCTACGAATGCTCACTCGCTCGTTCGTTTGACTTAATGTGTTATCTGCATTGCGTTTCTCATGTACAATGTACATTAGACTTAATGTTTCTCATGTTGTACAGTGTACTATAGATTTAATGTGTTATCTGCATTGTGTTTCTCATGTTGCACCATGTACATTAGACTTAATGTGTTATCTACATTGTGTTTCTCATGTTATACAGTAACATTAGACTTAATGTGTTATCTACATTGTGTTTCTCATGTTGTACAGTGTACACTAGACTTAATGTGTTATCTACATTGTGTTTCTCATGTTGTACAGTGTGCAATTGATTAATGTGTTATCTACATTGTGTGCCTCATGTTGTACAGTGTACATTAGATTTAATGTGTTATCTACATTGTGTTTCTCATATTGTACATTGTACATTAGACTTAATGTGTTATCTACCTTGTGTTTCTCATGTTGTACAGTGTACATTAGATTTCATGTGTTATCTACATTGTGTTTCTCATATTGTACAGTGTACATTAGACTTAATGTGTTATCTACATTGTGTTTCTCATGTTGTACAGTGTACATTAGACTTAATGTGTTATCTACATTGTGTTTCTCATGTTGTACAGTGTACATTAGACTTAATGTGTTATCTACATTGTGTTTCTCATGTACAATGTACATTAGACTTAATGTGTTATCTACATTGTGTTTCTCATATTGTACAGTGTACATTAGACTTCATGTGTTATCTACATTGTGTTTCTCATGTTGTACAGTGTACATTAGACTTAATGTGTTATCTACATTGTGTTTCTCATGTTGTACAGTGTACATTAGACTTAATGTGTTATCTGCATTGTGTTTCTCATGTTGTACAGTGTACATTACACTTAATGTGTTATCATGTTGTACAGTGTACATTTCACTTAATGTGTTATCTGCAGTGTGTTTCTCATGTTGTACAGTGTACATTACACTAAATGTGTTATCTGCAGTGTGTTTCTCATGTTGTACAGTGTACATTAGACTTAATGTGTTATCTACATTGTGTTTCTCATGTTGTACAATGTACTATAGACTTAATATCTACGTTGTGTTTCTCATGTTGTACAGTGTACATTAGACTTAATGTGTTTCTCATGTTGTACAATGTACATTAGACTTAATGTGTTATCTACATTGTGTTTCTCATGTTGTACAATGTACATTAGACTTAATGTGGTATCTACATTGTGTTTATCATGTTGTACAGCGTACATTAGACTTAATGTGTTATCTACATTGTGTTTCTCATGTTGTACAGTGTACATTAATTTTAATGTGTTATCTACATTGTGTTTCTCATGTTGTACAATGTACATTAGATTTAATTTGTTATCTACATTGTGTTTCTCATGTTGTACAGTGTACATTAAACTTAGTGTGTTATATACTTTGTTTTTCTCATGTTGTACAGTGTACTATAGACTTAATGTGTTATCTACATTGTGGTTCTCATGTTGTACAGTGTACATTAGACTTAATGTGTTATCTACATTGTGTTTCTCATGTTATACAATGTATATTAGATTCAATGTGTTATCTACATTGCGTTTCTCATATTATACAGTGTACATTAGACTTAATGTGTTATCTACATTGTGTTTCTCATGTTGTACAATGTACATTAGACTTAATGTGTTATCTACCTTGCGTTTCTCATGCTGTACAATGTACATTAGACTTAATGTGTTATCTACATTGTGTTTCTCATGTTGTACAGTGTACATTAGATTTAATGTGTTATCTACATTGTGTTTCTCATGTTGTACAGTGTACATTAGACTTAATGTGTTATCTACATTGCGTTTCTCATATTGTACAGTGTACATTAGACTTAATGTGTTATCTACATTGTGGTTCTCATGTTGTACAGCGTACATGAGAATTAATATGTTATCTACATTGCGTTCCTCTACTTAATAAATACCGATGTCTCTTGTTGCACATCAGACTTAATTTGTTATCTACGTATTTGTTTCTCATTTGGTACATTGGTTTGTCGTAGGTTTGTTTAAACCGTTTTATTCTTTCTGGGCTTTGGTATGTCTGTATTGGTATGTGAAACTGACCTTCATTGATCTACTACATTCAATAACAAGTCATTTCTTGTAAGAGTGAGTATTTTTAATGTCGACGCTATAGCGCTGTAGTAATAAACACATTGGCCCAAGGCAAAGATGAGTTTTATACATTACATCATGTTGAGAATGGAACCCATTGTCATTGAAGCAACACTGATGCACACTCGTATGGACACTCTCATGCACAATGAAACTAGTTCCAGTAATTCGTTCTTTGTTTGCGTACGTGGGGTAGATGCTTGGTATCTATCCAGGTCTCTCCAATCAATAGTCAAACACATTCCAGTCTGATTATAATGAAGCAGCGTATACGCCATGAAGCATTGATTTCACTTTAATATATTTGACAAAGGCATTGCAACATGTAGGGGGATAGTGGGTGCGATCGCGATGCATCCAGCTCTAATCGATCACAACTGCCTGCAAAGTATAGAATGATTGTAGGCAGCTAAGATACGTGAATTCACTTCAAAGCTACTGGAATCGTTACAGGTCTTTCAAAATATTTCCCATTCAGACATTATTCTGAAAGATGTTAGCACTCGTTAGCAGAGAAGACAGATAATCTCCTGGCAGAATCGTATACCTTCGTATCTTAAAGGCACAATATCACACCACACTTCTCTAAAAATAATAATAATGCATTTCTCTCAATAATACTAACTATCAGACCTCAGGGAAGCTACCATATATTTTATT